AATAATATATGAAGAATATCAACAGTGGAAGATTGTGACAGAAGTAGTGCTGGTAAGTTATAAAATATGTTGAAAGCAATCCGCGAAAGTTTATTCAATAAATATTTGATTCTTCTTCCAATAATGTTAGGTGAGTTAGGTAATAAATCAACTCGAAGAACTCGATCAGATTGAATTCTGAAAGTGCAATTATTAGATTGGGCATTATGAGTGAAGTTCACACATCCAGTGCATTTGATAAGAGAAGAAGTATTGTCGTTAGGTCTGATGGCATTTAAATGATGACAAATAAACCATCCAGGACATGAGAGTTTGTCAAAGATTTGTCCAAAAGAAACAGAATTCAAAATTGGATTCCAGGAGGCAATGAACTTTTTTCTTTGATTTCTTTGATTGACAGGAATAGAAGTGACAGCTAAATGTTTATAAATAGGTAAAGGGTGAGCTAATCTAAATTTTAATTTAAGGTTTCTACTACTATTCTTATATAGAACTAAATCTTCTAAGTCCAAAAAAAATCTAGAGTTACTCATACGCAATGTATGATGATTAAAATTCCTAAGGAACAAATCAGATTTTTCAATTAGAGAATGACCAGTAACATCGATAAGTAGATCTAAATAAACAAGATTATGTTGACGAAGAAAGTTAGTATATTTAAAAAGCAAATCAGCAGAGAGGATATTGGTAAGAGGAAATTGTCCTCCTTTAATATGGTTAATCAACATAGGAGAAGGAGTGAAGGACAAATGTGAAGAGAAAGAATTAATGAGACTCAAGGAAGCACCAATAAGGTTATGATGAGAATGGCAATCAAAGGATTTTGTCCAAGAGTCTAAAGGAGAAGTAGGAAGAGAATGTTGTGATTGTAGTTGGAATAAATGAATAGTAGAGATATGCTCATAAAGCGAATTATTGTTGAATTGTTGTAGGAGAGCATAAGAAAGTGATTTAATCTGAAGTGACCAAAGATCATTTAAATTATAAAATTTTTTGAAGTTAAGAAGAGCATTAGGAAGTGTGACAGTGAACTTATTCTTTTTCTTGAAAAGGGAATGAATTGGCGTAAAAATTCGATCGCAGTCAACTTTTGATAAAGGTGTGAGTTGAATGCGATATTCTATAAGAAGGCAAAGAACTATATTTATAATATAAGCGAATTGTTTATCAGTGATGGGTTTATAGCGCATAGTATTGGTGAATAATTGGATATCTAAGGAAATCTGTTTTTTAACAAAGGCGACCGAGCGTTTGTGATTGATCTATATATCAAGGAATCTAATAGAGCCTTGTTCAGCGATGACGTCAACATGAGATGAACCAAATCTTAAATTGACATTAGGATTCTAGAAGATCTTGGTAGTCAGAAGTTTCGATTTCTGTTTATTGAGAACAGATTGTGTAATGTTGTAAAATTCCTCTACTATATCTAATATAGATTTGAGGTCTTGTTGATTACCAGCGATCCAATTCGTATCATCCATAAAAGCCAATGACAAGACCTGGGCTGTTAGGTGATTTGAAGATAAGGTAGTAAGATCTGAAATCCATCTATGTTCAATATTGTATCCTTTGTTTAGGCTGGCAACTTCACATAAAAGGGGATCTAGGTAAATACACCATAAAAGCGGTGATATAACTTCACCCTGATCAATTCTGATTTTTACGTCATAGTAATTTGAGGTGCTATCAGCTGTAAAAATAGCATTTTTTCAAGCAGTGAAAAGATTGATTAAAAGATTTATCACATGGTTAGGCACTTTGATACGATATAAGGCTTTTCGGAGGAAAGTTAAGTAAACACAGTCATAGGCCTTTGAGAGATCTTGAAGTAAAATCCAAATTTTCTTGTTGTTTTTGTTAGCATCCTTGAGTAACATGTTAAGAATCTTGATCAGAGTCTCCATTGAGCCCCCTGGCAATCTGGCGAAATTGCCTCCTCGTAGGATGGAATGTTTAGCAATAATTTTTGATAAGTAATTATTCAGAATTTTAACGAAGACTTTTCTCACGGTTTCTAATAATGTAATGGGTCGAGTCTTTGTAATGTCACATTCCCAAGCTATAGGTTTAGGAATTGGAAAAAGATGCGTGATTTTCCATTCATTAGGAATATCTCCTATAATAAAGCACATACAAATGAGCTGCCAAAGAAGATACTGAAGTTTGTCGCCAATGTGTGCTAGCATTTCATTAGTAATGCCTGATGGGCCAGCTGACTTATCATTGGGTAAGTGTTTTAATATTGACAGCCATTCATCCATTGAAGGCGATTGGAGCAAGTTATCATAGCAGTCACTATTGACATACTCCTTCGGAAGATATTTATTGAGCCATCTGGGGGGTAACGGTTGTGAAGGCATGTCTGGTAAGATGAAATTTTGAAAATGTTGAATAGTAGCTTCTTTAATTTCTTTAGAATCTACGGTAAAACGTTTGGTACCAGTCATAGGGTCATTAATCAACAAGCGATCAAGAATAATCGTGTTCTTCTTGTGATTGAGGATGAAATCAATCATCGCTAATGTGTTATTCAGAAGATCATCACATCGTTTATCAATGAGTTATTTGATGGCAGCTGTTTTAAGCTTGTGAGTATCAATTCTAGCCAAATTTGATAATATCTTGTGGGTAGCAAAGAGATCCTGTTTAACATTCAATGCTAATTGGCTGGTAAGAACGGCAGAAAAGGAGATAGGCGCAAGTTTCATTTTGTCATGGATCTTTGTCATGGAGGAAATTATGTTGGACCATGCTGAGCCTCGAGGCCATTGACCATCTTAGATCAACTTAGTTTTAAAGAGCAGTAAGAAGAAGCAGACCTTTTTTGCAGCTACATAGGAGTCCGGTAAATCGTAAAGCTGCTTGTGATCATTGTGATTAGAGATCCAAACTTGCGGGATAATGTGTTTATTCGCAGCACATATGGCAGTTTTAATATTCATCCATAGAGAGTTCATATTTGGACGAGTAGGCGAAAGGTCTTTGAGTCGGTCGAAATTATGGCAGTTGTAATGAAAGTTGATATATTCAGCAAATGCTGACCATTTAGTTGAATTCATCAATCGTATATTGGGGACTTGACATTTATTTTGAAGAAGACGAGACTTAGCTTGCGAGCGTCACTGTATATCTGCAAAAAAAGCAAAAACGATTTTGTGGTCTGACGAATAAAGGTCAGATTGATCGATGGATGAAAAAAGAAAGTCTGAAATGAGATTAGGTGAGGCGAAAATGGTATCAATTCGTGAACTTCTGTTACTAGTGCAGAAAGTAGGTTCAGGTGTATCATAATATAAGTCATATAAGTCAATGAAGTTAAGCGCAAAAATTTGATCATAAAAATCGAACTTCCAGTGTAATGGAGCACTATAGTTATATTGTGACCAATAATGGTCCAGATTCACATTGAAGTCACCCAAGAGAACAATTTTAAAATCAGACTTAATACCATCTTTGATATATTTAAGAATCGTTTTGTGAAGGTTGAGTCGCTCTTTTTTAGTACCAGACGTTAATGAGGCATGTATATGCAAAAAATCCTTAATTTAATATGGTCTGCAAGATATAAGTCGATGTAAATGAAGCGATTGTCATCCAAAAAGGTACGCTGAATATATATGGCCTAGGAGCGTTTAACTAAAATACCAACTCCTGTATGGATGTTAATGCGGGAGCTCCAAAAAGCGCGAAAGTTGGGATGGTTAGAGTAACGAAAGCATTGATCAGATTTGTGACGAGTTTCTGTAAGACCAATAAAGTCAGTATTGAAATCAATAAAGGTATCGTTAATTGAAGAATTTTTGATTTCACATTGTAAAGAATTAACGTTGTGAGTTGCGAATGAAAGATTGGGGTTCCTTTTGAAATATTTGAATTAATTAGAAGGGGTGACTTATTATTATTAATGTTTTGATTAGATTTTAAAATCATAAGAGAAGTTGTGGAGAGAGTAACAATTATTGTTTAGCCAACTTAGCAGTCAAAGACTCAAGTTGTACCATCATGATAGTAAGTTGTTCTTGTTGGAAGGCAATGATACCATTTTGTTCTTGGATAGTTGTCTGTAACTGAACATTAACAGGATGAGGAACATTAGTATCGCTATCATCCGATGATGTATTAGCAATTCTGGAACGCTTGTTAATATGAGAAACAGAGTAGTTATCATTAGATTTTTGAGTATCAGGGATATGAGAGGCGATCAGAGATGGTTGATGGGGAGTGTGACTTAATTGATTTCTTTCTAATTTAAGAATTCGGGCTTCTAGATCAGACATAGCTTTTTTCATGCCAGAAAGCATGTCTAAAATTTGGTCAAGTTTTTATTAGCATCATTATTGGCATGAGGATTGTGGATCGAATTATTTAATGAATTATCCTTGGGGCCAGTATCTTTTCCTTTGCCTTTGTCGTTATCCAAGGCCTTAGAACAATTCATGTTGGTTCGATCATTTCTATTATTGTTATTTTTAATGATTAGGTTACAGGAACCTGCAGGTTTGTAACGATTGTATAATTTTTGTACGGAAGGGAGATGGGAACGCGAACGCTTATTGTCATCAGAATCGTTCTTTGTTTGGGGTGTAATCTGAGAACATTTCATAATAATGTGCTCGGAAGAGCCACACTTGTGACAACATTTAAGGTCTGCAGCACACCATTGTAATTCTTGGACACTGAAGGCATAGTTGTTTTTAAGAGCATCATTGAGTGCTTCTTCTGAGTCGAAATAAAGGATGGCAAAGGGTCGTGGCTTATAATTATTGGATCTCAGAATATAGCAACTTTTTGCTTTAGTGGCGATGATAATATCATGGAGATCACGTGCTGTTGTTCCGAAGGGGAGATTGGTCAATTTAAAGTGGATATCATTTCTGTATTTCACCTGTTCAGTGGTGAGATCGGCTGGGTAAATTCTTACACAGTCATTGTATAGATATCGTGACCATTGAGTGTAAAATAGTTTGATGGCGTTGGGATCTTTATATGTAATATAGGCGTGCTGGCACATGCCTCGTGTTTGCATTCTTACATTCGTAATTTTTCCATATTTGGTGAATATGGAGGTAAGGGAGTCTTGTTTAATGTTGAGATGAATATCTGTGATATACAGGGTGCGCTGCTGAAACTGCATATTTTCTTTGTATTCATTGTAGTCAATCAGTTGGTCGATTCCCAAATCGGGAAATTTTACAGAGGAGGCAGAGATCATCGACTCCTTATCAGCAAAATAGATGACTGCGGAATAAACGAAGTTAACACAGCAAACGTTAACACCTTTGAAAGCGTCATTATGTGCGAAGTGTTATTAATAGCTTTGACAACTGTTTGGGTAGAGAGTTTTTTCGCAGTTTTGGAAATAATAGAGGCACAGGCGAAAGCGCTTGAGCGAGTAATAGTGATAAAGTCACAGTTTTCAATTTCCATATTGTTGTCGTCTTCAATAGGAACGTACTCGTCTTTATCCAAAACGTTGGAAAGCAGAGTGGGTTTAGGTACAAAAGTATTTGCAACAATTTCTTCGTCAGAGAGGGAACTAGGGTCAGGAGCAAACTTAGACAAAGAGGCGACGGTTTTAGATTGCTTGTCTTTTGGGTCGAAACGAAAGGTATTTTTTGAACTGGTAGTGCGACTGGTTTTTTTCCCCATTTTTATTTGTAAAATTTGTAGAAACTTTTTTGAAAAATTTGTTTGTAAGTAGAAATAAGGAACTAACTAACAGAGTTGAAAAATATTAAGAACTTTTTAAAGCGAAACGATTTTATTTTCTAAAAAAATTTTTGTTTCCAAAAATTTTTGGGAGAAAGGAGAAAGAGTTTTTCCTAGAAAAAATCTTGCTATACCGAATTTAGTAAACTAAAATTTGTATTACATTTAACGAATTAATGTTTGTGAATATGCATTATATAAATGCCCCTTTGTATAACGCATTTATTTATAATAAAGTTTTTTTTTAATACAACGAAGATTTACAAAAATGAATTTTAGTAGAAAAGATAAACTTTGTATATAAAATTTGTAATTTTTTGTACCTTAATAAAGTTAACAAAAGTATTTCGTGTAATATTTCACAATTTTTATTTTAAATGTTTTTTTATTTCACATGTTTCGCGATTTTTTTTCATATTTCTTTAACATAAGAATAATAATGCCAAAAGTAAGCTCAGAGAAACAAAAGAAACAAAATAATGAACCTTTAAAAAAATGAAAATCTCTTACTGCTGCAAAAAAAAAGAGATTTATATTAAAAAAACTTCATTTCTGTTATTAAAACAAAAAGACCTAGAAAGCGAATATAAAGTTAGTGAGGGCATGGTTAGTGATATTTTAAAAGAAAAGGACCGTTGGTTTGCTATAGATCCTGAATCATATAAAGCTGGGTTGAAACGTGAAAAAAAAAACAACTTTTCCTTTTATTGAGAAAGCTTTAACTTTTTGGGTAGAAAATGCGCTTCAAGCTGGTCTCGTTATATCCAATACTTTATTTGGTAAGGATAATCTAAAGGTTCCAATAGATGGGTTGATAATTTTAAGAAATAGCATAACTTGCTGCAATATAATATACATGAAGCTGCAAGTATACATCTCCAACCTTGTGATCAAGAAATCATCAATAGTTTTAAGGTGAGAAACGTATTTGATTTAAACATTCTTATATTTATACTTTATTTATATTTTAGTTCAAATTTAACTTGTTTTAGGCACAACCTCGAAAGCTCTATCTACAAAATTGGGTCAAATCTTTTGACCATTTCAATGATTATCGTATCGAACCTGTGGAAATTAATATTAAAAAGTGCATGAAATATGTTTCTCGAGCTTGAAATAAAGTAATACAAGAGACAATTCAAAATTATTGGTTGAAAGCAGATATTCTGCTCAATAACGACAATGATAATAATGAAGATGAAACCTCTACCGATATACAACTTGAACTTAAACATCTAAGGGAATTGGAAGAAGTTCAAGTTTTAATTGACAAACTTGTTTTTAATGATCCTTTAACTGCTGAAGAATTTGTTCAATTTGATAAGTCTGAGACTACAGGAGAAATGATATCTGACGAAGAAATTGTAAAAGCAGTTTTACCTAATAAACAAGAACAAGAAAATGAAGGAGAAGAGGATTTTTTACCGACAATTACTCATAATGAAGCTATTGAATTATGATAAAGTAATTTTATATTTAGAACAACGGGAGGAAATTTTCAATGTGAACAATAAAGAATTAAAGCTTATTAAAAAGAAGCTTTGAAAAACCAATTTATTTCGGCGAGACAAACCAATCTCAATAAGTTTGTTACTATAATTGAATAATAGTAATTTTTTTAACGCAAAAACGTTAATAATTTGGGAAGTATTTTTTTTTATTTTATAATTGTTTTTTTAACGCAAAAATGTTAATAATTTGGAAAGTATTTTTTTTATTTTATAATTGTTTTTAACGCAAAAACGTTAATAATTTAGGAAGTATTTTTTTTTATTTTATCATTTTTTTAATGCAAAAACGTTAATAATTTGGGAAGTATTTTTTTTAATTTATAATTGTTTTTTTTAACGCAAAAATGTTAATAATTTGAGGAGTATTTTTTTTTACGTAACAAATGTAATGATATAATAAAATGGTGTTATAGGAATACAAATTTTAGTGCATTGATTAAATAACACCCTGTGATAGTATTGAAATTGTGTCGAACTTGTGTTGAAAAATTCATATTGTTTTTTATAATTTTTAACCAATTTGTGTTGAAATTCCTATTGTTTTTTTACCAAATTGTAGTGTCATTTTTTTATAATAATTTATATTTATCACCCAGGTAATGAATTATTATTGTCTCTAATTGTATGATCTGCCATATTAAAAAATTCGCTTAAGTTATATTTGTGTTGATCTAATTTTATAAATAATACAAAAGTTGAATTGTTTTTGGAATCTGAATCAGAATTTTGAACACAAAGAGTTTGAGCATTTCGATTGTGAGTTTATTGTATTATTCAAGATATCAAATCAGAATTTTGATTCAATAATAAAGAGATTTTTCACGAGATATCAAATCAGAATTTTGATTCAATAATAAAAAGATTTTTCACGAGATATCAAATCAAAATTTTGATTCAATAATAATAAAATTTATTTTTAAAGGGAAATATTTTACCATTATTTAATTTTTCACTTTTAAAACTTTTTAAAAAAAAAATCTCTTATCGTTATTAATTCCAAACATAATTTTCAAATTTTTAATTTTTTATAAACAAATAAATTATCATAATAATGGATGTCGCAAGAATAGTTTGGAGAGATGTAGAGACCGATTACTTGGTTGAAGAAAAGAGAAGAAGAAATCATGAATACCACTATTATTATCGTGGAAATAAATTAAGATTTTGGCAAAGCGTCGCGAGAAGAATAAATCGCCGCTACAACGGTGATTATTTTTCTTGTCAATACAAGCAGAAATGGCAGAAATGGTGAAACCTAGTGAGGGATTACGGGTAAGTAAATAAATGAATAATAATATGTTGATAAATATAACTTAATTGTATAAATAATTAATATGTATCTTTTAGGATTTTTGTGATTAGCGTAATGGTGCGAGAAGAGGGGGAAGGTGGTCGTATAATGGGGAACAGTTTTATGATTTATTCTGAACTAGGTTTTGGGATAGGCCAAGAGTAGGGTGAAAATGGAGTTTCTGGGACAGATTTCAAATTAGTATTCAGAAAAGATTCCTGACCGCCTGCAAACCCATTTTAGCTATATGAATCAATTATCAAATTCAAACCTCTAGCGTATTTTGACTCAATTCTAGATAATGATATCGAACTTGACTAGGAATTAACCTATTTGATACCAAGAATTACAATGTTT